GGGGGCTAATTTTTAAGGATTTAGAAACCTAGAGAAATGGTCACAAAACTTTAAAAACTTCCTTAGCTTCATAATTTATAGTTTTTAATTAACAAATCAAATACGTTTTTGAAAAGTGTTAAACAAAGGATTTCTAAGAAAATATTAAATCTTCTCTCTTGACTGTTTTCCAGAAACCTATAAAACTATGGAAAAACAAAGAATTGTTTTCATAATTACGTATTGTTATAGGTTTGCACTTACACAACAGTGTATTTAAAAACCATTTTATGCAGGAAATTATGCTTGAGGGAAAACCAAAAAGAAGAGTTTTCAAACGATAATTTTTACACTTGACCTTAAAAAGATTGATTTGGTATTTAGGACGGACTGGTAGATATGAATACAGGACAAAATAGGACTATCTGATCCTGCAAAAGGACTATCTGACCTTGAAAAAATGACTATCTTATCATGAAAAGAACTATCTGATCCTAAAAAAAGGACTAAAGGACTCTGAAAAATAACTGTCTGAAAAATAACACTTCGAAAAATAACTATCTGAAAAAACTTTTCCGACAAACTTTACAAAAAAAGGCAGAAATAAAAAATGGAGGATAAATATAATTGAAAAGAGATTTATTCCAACACTGATTGATCTAAATATTTCATAATTTATCTTGATTAACAATTGATTTCAGGTAGACCCCCCAGATATTATCCCTGTGTATAGATATTATCCCTGTATATATATATTATCCCTGTATATAGATATTATCCCTGTGTATAGATATTATCCCTGTGTATATATATTATCCCTGTTCATAGATATTATCCCTGTATATATATATTATCCCTGTGTATAGATATTATCCCTGTGTATAGATATTATCCCTGTATATAGATATTATCCCTGTGTATAGATATTATCCCTGTGTATATCCCTATGTATAGATGTTCTCCCTGTATATACATAGATATTATCCCTGTGTATACAATATACATAGATATTATCCCTGTGTATACAATATACAAAGATATTATCCCGGTGTATAATTATTATCCAATATTCAAAGGGAAGAGTTGTAAACATTGCAAACTTTTAGTGTATATAAAATAACGCGTATAATTTTATTACAGCCAAGCCATAGCATATAATTCTCTAGCAGAACTCACTCACTCACTCTTTCACTGAATCACTAACTAAGTAAGTAACTAACTAACTAACTAACTAACTAAATAACTAAATAACTAACTAACTAACTAACTAACTGTCTAATTAACTTGTTAACTAACTAACTAACTAGCTATATAACTAACTAACTAACTTAATAAATAACTAACTAACAATCTATGTAGCTAACAAACTAACTATAACTAACTATCTCACTAACTCACTTATTAATTTACGCACGCACACCATGTTATGTTTTTTACTCAATATGCAAAAAGTAAACCATAAATGACAATATGAGGTATGTAGCCTTCTTTAAACCAGACATTAAACCCTCACATGAACCCATCTACAAATATACACAAATACAGTCACCCCTCTACCCATATCCCATACTTACCCCCCTGAGGTTGAAGTTGTATTCAATTAAATAACACTTCTAAATGCCCTTCGGTGTTATTTAGCCCAAACTTTCTTCGTACTTACAGGGAGAGTCAACGATTTATTTTTCAGGTCTCATGTTTATTGAATAATCCTGGATTTACCTGCCAGGTCCCATGTTTATTAAAATAATCCTGGATTTATCTGCCAGGTTCCATGTTTATTGAATAGTCCTGGATTTATCTGCCAGGTCCCATGTTTATTTAATAATCCTAGATTTATCTTCCAGGTCCCATGTTTACTTAATAATCCTAGATTTATCTGCCAGGTCCCATGTTTATTGAATAATCCTGAATTTATCTGCCAGGTCCCATGTTTCGAATAATCCTGGATTTATCTGCCAGGTCTCATGTTTATTGAATAATCCTGGATTTATCTGCCAGGTCCCATGTTTATTGAATAATCCTGGATTTATCTGCCAGGTCTCATGTCTATTGAATATTCCTGGATTTATCTGCCAGGTCCCATGTTTCGAATAATCCTGGATTTATCTGCTAGGTCCCATGTTTATTGAATAATCCTGGATTTATCTGCCAGGTCCCATGTTTATTGAATAATCCTGGATCTAATCTGGATGACAAGCGACAATTTATAAAGTTTGGGAGAAAGTATATCATAACCTTAGGCATTGTTCTTTATCTGTCTCATCAATATATGTGGGAGGGGGTGGGGGGTAAATAAACTTACTGAGATGGTGGGAGGGGTTACTTTCATGGCAAATGAATTCATAAAAGTGAAATAACCAATTTTTATTGTATGTTCACGGTTTGAGGCTGTAGTCTGGGAAAGGTGCCGTCTACAGGATAGAGTCATAATAACAATACAACGGGTTGTAAATAATAAAATTATCTAGAAATTATTTTAAAGTTTTGCCCTTTTAAACTAATACTAAATTCAAACTTAAAGTTAGTATTAGTTAGTTATCTTAAAAGAAAAGAAAACTAATTCTTTTTAATTTACAAAATTTGTTTTTAAAGAAATGGAATGAGATAATTTAGAATAAAATGTGTAAAGATATTATCCCTGTGTATAGATAATATCTATAGATATTATCCCTGTTTATATATTATCCCTGTGTATGGATATTATCCCTGTATATATATATTATCCCTGTGTATGGATATTATCCCTGTATTTATATATTATCCCTGTGTATAGATATTATCCCTGTATATAGATATTATCCCTGGGTATATATATTATCCCTGTGTATATATATTATCCCTGTGTATATATATTATCCCTGTATATATATATTATCCCTGTGTATAGATATTATCCCTGTGTATAGATATTATCCCTGTGTATAGATATTATCCCTGCATATATATATTATACCTGTATATATATATATTATCCCTGTGTATAGATATTATCCCTGTGTATAGATATTATCCCGTGTATAGATTTTATCCCTGTGCATAGATATTATCCCTGTGTATGGATATTATCCCTGTGTATATATATTATCCCGGTATATATATATTATCCCTGTGTATAGATATTATCCCTGTATATA